TTGTTTTCTCCTCCAGATTGTTCATTCAGCCTGCCCTATCCAGACAGACCTGCACTTCCCCTTACTTTTAAGGCTTATGTTTCATCTCATTAATACCATGAGACCTATGTATGTTCAGTTTTATAATTAAGATCGTTCGATGCAGGAATGCCAGGATGGATGACCTTTCAGAAAGAGCAATGGGAGTAATGATTCCCTGAGGCTACGGGAGGACAGGGGGAGAAGAAGGGAGAAGGGGTGGCTGATAGCCATGAAGACTGCATGGTCCCACCAGAGGGGAGAGAACAACAGACGTGTAGGTAAAGGGATATATTGGGTGGGGTAAGATATGGCTAGATAGAGAGAGAGAGATAGACTAGATTAATATTATGTAACAATAATAACAAGGGTTCTTGGGGGGAAGGGCGGGGGAGTGGATATCAAATAGAGTTCAAGAAGAAAGAAAATGTTTTGAAACTGTAGTAGCCATTGTACTGCTATGCTTGATCTATTTGAATTATGGGGTGTTATGACATTTCTAAGAGTTCCCAATAAAATGATGAATTAAGAAAAAGAATGCAGCCCCTTCAGTCGCACTTGCCCTCCTTTTTCAGCCGGTCAGACCCAGGTTTAGATCTAAGGGACACAGAACACAGGAGGCTTTTAAGCCTGTGAGCCTTCTCTCTCTCTTTCTCCTTTACATTTTAACTTTATTTTGGTTTTTAAAGAAAAACGTATTCTGTGGAGTTACACAGTTTATTTCATCAAATCAAATCAGTGACAATGTCACTTCAAATCCCCCATAAATGAGCGCTGTGTGTTTGCTCACTCCCATCCTGCCTCCCTTCCCTTCATAATTTCCCTCCCCCCATCCCACTCCCGTCCCCGGCCTGAAGTCTTCCAAGTCTTATACTTGGGTGTGAAGACTACTTTTCTTTTCTTTGTTTTTCCTTAGAATAGTGGTGTCGTTAAAGATCTGCCTTTGTAAGATCGACTAGCTTTGCTAAGCATCATGTTCTCTAGTTTTGTCTGTGTCTTGTGATGTTTAAGAATGCCATCGCTGTTTGTAATTGGTGCATAATATCCATTGTGTGACTGGACCCGAGTCTGTGTGTCCACTCCTCTGTGAGCGGAAATTTGGGTTGTTTCAGCTGTTAACCATGGAAGTTGCTGCAAAATCATATGTGTGTGCATATGTTTGTGCATGTTACGTTCTTTATCTCTTTAGGGCACATACCCACACAGAAGAAGGATTACAGGATCACAAGATCATAATTGTGATTGCATTTGTTTAAAGAAGTGTCATACTGATTTCCACAGAGGTTGTACAATTCTTCAGCCCCACCAGCGATGTATGTGTTCCAACCTCTCCATAATCTCTCCAACATTTATTATTTTCTGTTTTTAAATTTTTTAAATTTTGTTAAGCATGTCAGCATGAGGTGGTATCTCATTGTTTCAATGTGCATTTCTCTGATTACTAATTACGTCTTTTTCATATGTTATCATCTTTTGTAAATTGTCTATTCATGTGTTGTAACCATTTTTAATTGGGTTATTTGTCTTTTTCTTTAGTGAAGATGTTGTAGTTTTGTATAGAGTTTTGAAATTAGCCCTTTAATCTGATGCATCATTACTAAATATTTTCCCCAATCTGTAGGTTCTCTTCTAACTCTTTCAAAGAAGTCTTTTGATGTTCCTAAATGCTGTAGTTTGAGAATGTTCCAGACCTTTATTTTGTCTTCTATGGTGTGGATAGTTTTCATTACGTTCGGTAGTATATTTGTGTCTTGTATTAAGACCCTTACATTGGTCCCTAATTTTTTATGGATGGTTTTTATGGTTCCGGGGTTTATGTTTAATCCATTTTTATCCATTTTGAGCTTCTTTTCGTTCATGATAGGAAGTACGGGTCCTGTTTCATTCTTCTGCAGGTGAAGATCTCATTTTCCCAGGACTATTTATTGAAAAGGCTCTCTCTTCCCCACTTAATGTGTTTAGTCCTTTATCAGAGAGCTGGGTTCTCAGTCTCAATCTGCCATTCTTCATGTCTATCACTGTGCTGCACAATAGGTTTTAAAGGCTGGGAGTGAAAAGCCTCCTACTTTGTTTTTGTTTTTTAATAGTGTTTTCTTTATCCTGGGTTTCTTTTCTTTCCATATATAGTTAGTGATTAGTTTGTCCATTTCTTTGGGAAAACTGTGCTGAGATTTGGATCAGAGTTGCATTGAATTTGTAAAACATTTTTGGCAATATTAAGGTTTTCACTGTTTGGTCTCATATCTTTCTTATTAAGGTGTTTCAATTTTTTATAGATTTTTGAAATTAGCCCTATATCTGATACATCATTGCCAAATATTTCTTCCCATTCTGTGGGCTCTGATGAAGATTTTTGATGTGCATAAATGTCATATTTTTAGAAGATCCCAGCCTTCTATGTGGCTTTCTGTAATGTAGGTATTTTTCATGGTGTTTGGTAGTATATTTATGCCTTGTATTAGGAGGAAAAAAAACACTTCCCTAATATGAATGATGAGAAGATATATATGTATCCAAGAAGCTGAACAAATCCCAAACAGGACAGACCCCATAAGAAAATTGCCAAGACATATCATAATGAAATTTTCCAAAGATCAAAGAACTCTGAGAGTAACTCAAAACAAAAAGGTACCTACAAAAGGGAACCAATAAGAGTAACCTCTCATTTCTTAGCAGAAAGCGTGTAGGATGGCAGTGGGGGGATGGGGAGAGAACCACATGTATGGAGGGCTCAACAGGATATTGCTGTTGGTTTTACTCCTTGAGAGAGGCTGTGTAAGTACTTAAGGGATGTTTCTTTTAAAATCCCCCCAGATTCCTTAACCCTCAGCCCTAAATAGTGGCCCGAGTGGCAACAGCAAAAAAGGGAAAGGAAAACTGAAATTGACTTGGACTCTTTATCGACAAACAAGTTCACCTCAAACAAACAATGCGGGCAAGCAGGCAATGGGATGCCATATACAAAACTTTGAAAGAAAATAACTGCTGGCCAAGAATTATAAATCCAGCAAAATGGTTCTTCAAACGCAGTGGTGCAATGAGGATATTTCCAGGTAAATAGAAATAAAAGGAATCTGTGTAAACCAGACCAGTCTTATAAGACACGCTAAGGGAGGTCTTTGGACAAAATATCAACAACAGTAGACAAGAGACTGAGGTCAGCAAGCAGGACAACACTGCCCAGAAGGCAACCCAGACACACAAGGATCCAAAATAAGACAAACCTGGGGAGTGGATGTCAGGGCTCAAGTGGGAAGAGAAGGCTTTGAAAATGATGATGGCGGCACATGTGCAAATGTGCTCGACACACTGGAGGAATGTATGGAGGTGATAAGAGATGTAAGAGCCCCCAATAAAAGTATTAAAAAACAAACAAACAACTATTCCCCCCCAAAAAATGTGCATTCATAGACTTTCTAGCTGCATAAGCTGAAATAGTTCCTTTTTGTTTATTTTTTTAAAATCATTAAAAAAAATCATTTTATTGGGGGCTCATACAACTCTTATCACAATCCATGTATACATCCATTGTATGTCAAGCACATTTGTACATTTGTTGCCCTCATCATTCTCAAAACATTTGCTTTCTCCTTAAGCCAAAAAAAACCAACTTAATAAATGTTTAAGAAAGTTATATTTCTAAAAAAAAAGATAGTTATATTCTCCTTTGTAAAAATAACAATAATAATAAATAAATAGATAAATAAGACAACCCTACGGGACTGCAAGTAAGAAATCAGAGACATCAATTTGGAGAGAAGACAACTACAAAGAAAACAGAAGGACTAGTGTAGTTCGGGAACTCCCCAATGGATAGGAAGTCAAGTGAATCTTAAGACTATGGACTGTTTACAACTTGGGAAGTAATAAATTACACAGGAAACTCAAATAAATCTCATCAAAACAAAATTGAGGGAAACCATAAAGATTCAGTAAACACTAAACCAACAGCAATTCAAAAAAAAAAAAAAGACAAGACAAGGAAGCCGGAAAAATTAACTCAGCACAGAAGTTTGTACGGAGCAAAGAAACCAGCAGCGGCACGGAAAGCAGCTCACCGCAGAAGGACAAGAAACGCAGAGCCATCGGGTCACACTGGACGGGCCGAGGTTAAAGTCACCAGTCAAGAGACAGAGAGAGCAGCAGAATGGACAAGAAACCAGGAGCCATCAATCTGACAGCCACGAGACCCACCTTAGACACAAAGACTGAAATAGCCTACAAGTCAAAGGATGAGGAAGAAGAAAAAGAATCGAGCTAATGGCAGTCAAAAAGGAACAGGCGTGGGGTTCCTACTAAATGAAATAAGGTTTTTTCCCACTTCGGAATGATGAAAATGGAACTACACAGTGACCATTGATGATGACACTGAGAGCTACTGACACGTGCAGTTCAAAAGGGTGGCTTTTAGAGTACTGCAGTTACAGCTCAATAAAGCAAAAGCCTGGGACAGAGCTGCCGTGGAAGTAGCATGGGCCTCATGTACCGGTGAGCTGTAGTGACGGTAGCATTGGCTTCCCTGCCAGGTGAACCCAGAGGCCACATGGTGGTGGCAGCGGAAGCTGCCTGGGGGACACTCACGTGCACAGGGTACTTTGGTCGTCCTCCAGTAGCAATGACAATGTGCTCAGCCGAAAGCAGAGTCTAAGGATAACCAAAGAAAGCTGGGGTTACACAGGCACATGGAAGCCACACATCTAAGGTGCTTAAGTACCCAGAGGTGCTCTGGGCACCATGTCCCCGCCTTGCAGTGGCCCCCCGGCCAGCTGCACGGAGTCCCCACAGTGCTGGCCTCCTGGCCTTGCGTCAGCTGACCAGGTAGCACTCAAGGAGCACCAGCGGGCATCTCCTGGAACCCCACCAAACCCTGCCCAGAGGGCACACCCACCTGCCCCTCAGATCACCTAGCACCCCACGATTCCAACTCCTGCTGACCGCACGTGTGCGGAGGGGAGCTGCTCCATACGGTTTTCAAGACTGGAGCCTTTGGCAGGCCAGTGGCCAGGTCTTTTTTCCAAGGCTCATTAGGGTGGGTTTGAACCACCAACTTTTCATCGAGTCCAGTCCTTCTCTGTCTGTGCCACCAGGGGTCCCCTGGAGCACTGCGCGTGAGCCGGTTACTCTGTTTCTAAGAAAACCCCAAACCAAACTCACTGCCATAGAGCCCGTCCCAACGCACAGGGGCAGAATGGAACCTGTGGCTTTCCCAGCCTTCCAATCAGCCCCCCTTGCTGCCACAGAGTAGCTCCGCCCTTGTGGCTAGCAGCTCCTGCTTCTCAGAAACCCGCTGCTCGTGTCAACAGCTGGAGATGCTTGGGAGGAGCATCTCCTGATAGCATCATGGGCTGGTTGTTGGGCCACTAACTACAAGGTCAGCAATTCAAAATCTACTCGCTGATCCATGGGAGAAAGAAGAGGCTCTCTCCTCCCATCAAGAATGACAGTCTCAGAAGTCAAAGGGGCAGTAAGTTCGGCCCTATCCTATCCGCGGCTACGAGCAGAGTGACCTTGGTCGTACTGGGGGAGCTCAGAGGCTGCAGAGGCAGGGCCTGAGTAAGAGCAGGTGGTTTGTGGGTCGGAGGCAGGCTCCCGCCTCTCCACTCACCTCCTTCCCCGCTTTCGTCAGGCCGCGCACCGTGTGCTCATTGACAAAGCTGGCTTTGATATTGAAGTACTTGACCTTTCTGCAAAATCAAAAGCAGATGCTCAAATGTCTCTTTGGAGTAGTCAGCAGGGAGCAGTGCAGACCCCCCCAGCAGGTCAGCTGCTGGCCCACCTGCACCACTGTGGCTCAGGCTCAAGGAGAACTACACTAGGAAACAGAGCAGAGGGTGGGACATATCACTTGTATCCCCTGGAATTTCTGGATCACCAGGGCCACAGGTGCCAAGACAGAGCCACAGTACTGAAGGGTTCTAGTGCATCCTGGCATCTACAAGGACCCATCCTGCTGCCCAAGTGACTGGTTTCCCACCCACTCCCACCTCCTACCGAACAGGTGTCCAATCTCTGTTTTCAGGGGCCCCCTGAGGCTAGGAGAGGGGGTGTGGCAGGTAAGCAGGCACCCAGGTTCTCTGTGCCCATGTTGTCTCCAATGACCAAGGGCAGACTCTTCTCCGTGGCTCCTTGGGCCTGCTGCCCTCCCAGAGCCCCGCCCCCTGCTCCCTCATGAGCTGAGTAAGCTGCCTTCACTCTGTAGCCCATGATGTAAAAGATGTGCGATCCAACAGGGTGTCCTGCACTGTTTGGCCACAGGTCATGGCAAGGCGGGAAAGGTGGCTCTCTCCGGAGCCTGCCGGGGTGAACCACCCGACACCGACCAACTCTGCGGTCCAGAGCCCTCCAGGAGGAGGAACTTAGGCCCCCAATTGGCACCGAGCAATGCAGCCAATGCCACCAGCGCCTCTCTCAGCCCTTAGGTTTAACCCACATCTGTCCCGGCTCAGATCGGCCTACTCAACAGAGTAACACTGCTCTCCAGGCTCTCCCAGGCTACCACTCTGTACAGGAGCAAAATGCTTCATCTTTTCCCCACAAAGCAGTTTGGCGGACTTGAACCTCCAACCTTGCAATTAGCAACCCAGTGTGCCACCAGAGTTGCTTTTTCAGGTTTATTAGAGCAAGGCATCACGCAGGTCCTACTGGGCTATGCATGGGTCACCTGTGACCTTCAATGAACCCTGTCCCCTTGTCAACCCATGTCAGAGCCACCACCGCCAGACTCGAAGCTGGGCAGAGCCCAGCACCAGGCTGGCACCTTCCTGGGCAGCAGATCCTGGTGGAGTCAGTGCCAGACAGAGAGGACGTGTCAGTGTTTGGGTCCTGGACCCCATGAGTTTGTCGGGGTATCCTGATCCCAGGTCTAGGCAAGGCATCCCATGGGTGACTACAGCGAGGAAACCAGATGTGGGGTTTGTGGTTCAGGGACAGTGTCTGGGGCATCCTCTTTGCTGCTGGCCAGGTGGCCTTCCCAGGTATCTTCCATGGAACTGTGGGCTGGCCCAGTGGAGAAAGATCACATACCTGGAGGAAGGAGCAGGCTCCTCAAGGGTCCCTTGCTGGGCCCTGGGTCCCCTGTGCCAGCACTGCCCTTGGCATTCCCAGCTCTGCCTTCAGCACAGCCCCACTAGACTTCTGGGCTATTCCTCCAACACATTCCTCAGGTACCTCAGGCTCCTCACCAGCACCCACACTTTCTCAGCAAAGAGGCCTTCCATGCCCCAATGCCACCCCACCAGCCCCTGAGGGTGTCCTCACCTGAGAGCAGGGACCTCATGCCGAGCCTCAGAGCCCACACAGATACTCACTCAGTCTGCCGCCCACCCCACAGGGGGCTGTGCTCCCTCCCTGTGGGCAGACAAGGCACGCTTGGGGACCTGTACCTGTCATGCAGCTGGACTCGGTGCCCCCAGTTCAAAGACTTGACATGGTTCTGAACAGCTTCCGCCATTTTCTGCCTGGCAGCACACAATGTCAAAGGTGAGCATTCACAGGCCACAGAAGAAGTAGCAGAGTCCCAGCTGGGTGCCAGCAGGTCCCTCCCGACATAAGGCGACCCTGTGTAACAAGCAGGACTGGCCCATAGGAGTTTTCTCTAAGCTGTGAGTGACATTTATGGAAGTGAATTGCCAGTCTTTCTGCAGAGGAAGTGCTGGGGGGAAGAGGGTTTTGAGCAGCCAACCCCTTGGTTAGCTGGTTAAGTGCTTGACCTTTGCACCACCAGGCTCCTTCTGGAACCAACTCTGAGGTGCCGATATCAAGAATCAAGGGGATGAACGCCCCCCGAAGTAGTTATAACCCCTGGTTAGCAATAAAGTTGGGGCTCTCCTGCTCTCGCTCCCGGGCTCTCCCCACGAGGACCAGCAAGCGGGGCTGAGGTGAGCACGCTACCACGGGAAAAAAAAAAAAAAGAATGAAGGGGATGGGGCTTCAGAGAGAGTAAGGAAACATTCCGTTATCTTGTCATTCATTTTCTCGGCACTTTTGGGAGCCCCCACTTGTAGGATAGCCACCCTGAGGCACCACTGCCTCTGTCCCAACCTGGAGAACTGGGGCTTGGTTTTCTGATCATTTGGGTTATGTTAAACAGCAGGGATATGTTAAACATTACTGTCACCGGGGCCTGTCAGCATGCCACGAAGGGCCATCCCTGGGCAGTTCCTAAGGCCAGCATGGCGGCTAAGCCAGCTCAGGGACTCCTCTGGGGAGAGCCCCAGAGCCACCCAGCTCCCTCCCTGGACAGAAGAAGCCTGACATGAGCTCCCACGCCCCACTGCACTTGCAGGTGCCCTCCTGTGCACGAGGGAAGGCAGAATCTCTGATCTCTACCCCTGTAGCCATAGCATCCACCCTCCCAAACACAAAATGTTTTTCAGACAATGCTGGGGGCAGAGGTGGGGGTGGGTGGGTGGACCGAGTCACCCTAACAAGCTCCCTATGATGATTCATGGGACAAGCAACCCCACCCCCCACCCCATTCTGCCTGTTAGGGGAAGAAGTGATGGCTCAGCACCCACTCTCACCAGTTGTGTGGGATGGGGTGGGCCACCTCCCAGCCGTAGTGGCTGGCGTCCTGGATCAAGCCCCCCAGCAGGGCTGCCTGGTGCATCAGTTTCTTGGGGATACAGCCAACGTTGACACAGGTACCACCAAGACCCCAACGGGTGCCTGGACACAGAAAAGCACATGGAGAAGTGAGGCAGGCTGCCAGTGTCTGGTGGAAGGTCTGCAGGACCCTGGGGCAGGGAGGCGGGGTCTGCCCAGGTTTCTGCACTTGTCTGGAATGCCCTTGCCTGTTGTAACTCCGATGCCACCCTTGAGACTTGTGCCTGATGGGTTTACTCTCTGCAATTGAATTCAGAGTCCTGTGAAAAGTCAGAATCCTGGAGAAACTTTAAAATACTGGCAACCGACACAGGAGACAAGACATTTTTGGCAACTCTATGGACCACTGAGGATGAAAGTGTCAGCTGTCCTTTGAACATGACCCAGACACACACACACACACCCCAGCTACTCCCATGAGCTACCTACCTCTCAGAGAAGGTTCCACATAATCCACCACGGCCACCTTCCTTCCCAACTGAGCAGCTGGAGTGGGAAGAGGAATAGGACAGTGAGTGCATGGGGATGGGGACACCCAGGGCCCACAAGGCTCAGGAGGGGCTGCCCAGGGGCTTTCCCCGTGGCTGCTGAACCCCACACAGCCTCAGGTGGTTGACCCACCCACCACCTACCTCCCACTCGGATGTGGCCACGCACAAGTAGGGCCATCAGACCTCCTCTGATCATAACCTTTGCACTGGCGCTCTTGGGCACTGCTCTCTACACCCAGGTTGGATCTTACCCAACCTTGTTTCCTGCTCTGCCTTCCCAAGGCCAGGCATTTTGCCTGAGCCCACGGCCCCGGGGCCCCAGCATATTAGAAGCAGGTCCACACACCAGAGGCCCCTATCTAGGGCTGCTACCCAGCCCCCACTGCACTCCTGCGCTCCTAAGAAACCCAAGACCCCTATACGAATGTTCTCAGCTCCTCTGTGCCCTGCTGAGGAGGATGAACACGCTGTATCCACCCACACTGCAGTCCTCGTCAGGGGGCATGTGCTGGCCCCTTCTCTGGATGTGGAAACCAAGGCTGATCCAGAGGTGGAGCTTGGACTCCAAACCGCCTCCCAGCCAAGGTGCCTCCTGGTCTCCTTCCTTCTAGCAGCAGGTCTCCAAGCCTAGGTTCCAGGGCTGACTTTGACACAATTAGCCAAGCACCCTTCAAGACTTCTGGAACCGCACCCAGGAAGATGACTGGACTTGGGCGCCATGGGTCCTTGGATGTCAGAAAGCTACAGAACGTGCTCAAACCAATGCCATTAGAGACCAAGAGGAGGAGGGAGGTTTGGAGGGTTCATCCTACAAACCCGTTTGGCAGAAAAGTCTGGGAAGATGGTGGCACAAACAGATCCTCATTTCACCCTCCCCCCGAAACACAGCAAGAAAACAGCCCTTGACTTTGACTGAATGGGAGACCTGGAGAAAGCAGCAGGGAACTGCAGACAGGCAAGAGTCAGCATGTTGCCCTATCACCACCCCGCCAAGGTTTGTGCAAATAGTGTCCAGTCACTGCAGAGTTTAATCTGTACAACACAAAAACAATTCATGTATTTTGGTCTGAAGCCAGCCTATACTTGTTTAACAGGGCCTTAAATTCCATACCACTGGCAAAATTAATAGAATTACCTTATGCCTGGGGGGATGATTGATGATATTCTCTAACATAAAATGAGAATGATGTCTCTAAAGTGAACCAGAGACATATATAAATTATAGGTATATGAGTGGATTTGAGGCACTTAATTTGAGCCCCAATCTAAGAAGAATTGATGACATGGCCCTGCTTGATGCTCACCCTCATGAAGACATCACTGACAACATGAGAGCCAGCAACGTGTGCTGGAGAAACCAGATAGCATCCGCTATCAGAAGGAATCGCTTCTGGGGTCTTAAAGGCTTGTTTTAAAACAGTCATCTAAGTGAAGTGTTGACCAAGCCCACAAGGAAGAAGCGCACCAGCCTGTGTGATCTAAGGACTGTAAATAATAAAATCCAAATGTAAAGGAGGGAATGGTACCAGAGCTTAAGTTGTGAACAACCAATTTGCAGGTTATAGAAGACAGTGGAAGCCCAAAATCCCCTTGCAGGGTCCTTGACCATAGCCAAGGGGTCTGAACAGACTTGCTAGCATACAGAGAACACTGTAAAGTCAATTACAGGAGATGCAGTTAGGTTAAAATGTAACATTGTATCATTTGATCTCCCTTCTGACCCATTTTAAAGTTGTTTCAGTTTATAATATTTTCTGCTTTCTTTTGGATTACAATTTCTGTGTTTTGTCTAGTCCTTGTTGTTGCTTCCTGTTTGTGTTTTATATGATTTTCTGTATGTGAAATCCAAGAAGTAGATCTATAGAGTAGATCTATAGAGACAGTGACTGGATTGATAGTTGCCTGGGGGCATGGCATGGCAGAGGAGGATGAAAGGAAATGGGGAGCTGACAATAGGTTGACTACGAGCACCATCACCGAATTCTATTTCAGAACATTTTCTTCTTATACTTACACAGGTAGGGAGTCTGGGGGTTGAACAATTAAATTATATGATATGTGAAATGTATGCCAAGCAAACTGTTTTTTCAAAAAAGAATCGATGAGTCCCATGTAACCCGATCCTCTATTGCCCCTTCCCCTTCCCCTAACAGGCCAGTGAAGTAGGGAAGTAGCCCCACTCAAAGAGCCTCTTCCTCTGATCCCCTCACCCCCTGCCCGTATAAAGAGCCAGGATTTCTGAGCTTCTGCTCTAAAATCAACAAGACAGACCTTGGAGTTGTTTGGAATATAGCAGCACCTTCGTCTCCTGGACACTGTCGGCTTGAAACCCACCGCCAAGGCCCCAGCCATGGAGCCTGCTCTCGCGGTCAGGGCACCCCTGGCCTCCCCACACACTTGAAGCCACTAGGGCAGGCTCCTGAGGACTCAGGTGGCATCTGCCTGCTCTGCTGCTGGACAGCTGTGAACCCCTACAAAAGGGCCTTTACAGGGGAGCCAGGAGGACTGTCACCAAAAAGGAGAGTTGCCACCCACCAGGGCCACTAGGATTCTGAAATCAACACAACAGATGCTTTGGACGTTGTTCAGAGAAGCGTAAGATCCTTGTCCTCTTGAATCAGCAGCAGCTTTGCTGTGCTTCTGAAAGCCAGCTAGGAAGCAGCCCTCACAGAAGGAAGCCAGCATACAACTGAAGGGTACCGCTCTGTCCGAAAGGAGCTTCACTGGGATTGGCTTGCTTGCTGGAAATATGGTCCCAGAAAAAAAGCAGGGAAGGGACTCATCACCAGTGAGAGAAGACGAGCCACCAGTAGGTGGACAGACTGACTGGTTCACAATATCTCACAAATGTGGCGATGCTGGTCGTGGATGAATTAATCACAGCGTATCTTATGGTGAGTCTGGGAGAGAGTGAAAATTGAAAATGGAGACCTGGAACTTTCAAGTCCGAATTAAAGCAGTGAGGGGGAAGCCCTATGGCACAGAGGGAGAGAAAACAATAAGCAACTGGCTGAAGGCTCTGCCCAGATAGCAGCTCTTTGCATGAAAAAGTGCCAACAAAACTGTTGATTACTAGGGAGAACCGAGAAAACTAACACCCTCAGAAATCTGTGTATCTTTTGGTTTTCAGTTGGAGGGTTGAGATTTTGTAACAACAATACATCCAAGTGAACAGGTAAAAAGAAATGAAAGAACATACAGGAAGGATAAAATCTTTTAAAAACTCACACCATACAACAGTGGTAAACATAATGAAATCCTTAAGGGAAAGCATAGAGAAAAGCCTCAAAGAAACCAGGAAAACAAGAAAAAAATGAGTATCTAGAAAAGGATATTGCGATCGAAAGGGACAATAACTGAAATGAGAAATGCAACAGGAGGTCTCGCCACCAAGTCTAGGCAGGCAGAAGAAAGAATCATAGAATTAGAGGGTAAGCTGGAGGAGAAGGAACACTCCCAAGCTCATTCCATAATACAAACAAGCCTGCGGCCGAAACCACCGCCACTCCAGAAGGAGAACCACAGGGCAGGGTCTCATGCACACAGCTGCCGAGGTCTCAGCCAAATACCAGTGAGTAAGAACCCAGCAGCATCTCCACAGAGCCACACACTATGACCACGCGGGCCAGGAATAGTCCTGCATTAGAAAATCACCCCTGTCACATGAACAGAACCGAGGAAAAGAATACATACTCATTTCTGTGGATGCAGAAAACGCATGTGAAAAACCTCACACCCGACTGGAATAAAAGGGCCATTCCCTCGGGATGATTCAGGCCAACAACCAACATTATGCTTAATAGAGAAAGACTAAGAACTTTCCCCTTGAAATCAGGAACAAGATAAGGGTGTACATTTTCACTAGTGTGCTAGGAATTCTAGACAGAACAATAAGACAAGAAATACAAGGTAACCATATTGAGAAAAAACAAAATTATCTCCATTTGTGGGTAATAGGATCCTACATAAAGAAAATCCCAAAGAGTTCATAAGACCACTTTTAAAGCTAATAGAGAAATCTAGCAAAGTTGCAGGGTACAAGTGATAAAGGGAACAATCAATACTAGAAATATAACACAATTTAAGATTTAGTTTGTTAAAAATCCAAAATGTAAGTCTCCTCCCCTACAGTAAAAATTCCTTTTAAGCTTTTCATCAAGGATGTTCCAACTTGCTTCTGTAGTCCCACCTGTAACTGCGATGTACTAATCTGCCAGCAATCACTCTTTCATAACAGTTTCCTTGGCCCTCCCATGCCCTTTTTAAGTCTGAATGTCTGCAAACCCTTGGACCTTGTGTTAATGGTCTCCCTCACTGGGATTATGGGTCTTTTATCTTTGTCCTGTCTTTGTCCTGTTTGAGACTTAATAAATATTCAAGCTAAATTGTATTTGAGATTTGGAGGCTCCTCTTGTACCTTAAACAAGACATTGCTGAAAGAGATTAAAGATCTGGATAAGTGAAAGATGTTTAAATAAATAAAAAACATGTTTCTTGTTCATGGATTGGAAGACTTAATATTGTTAGCATGTCATTATTACTCAAACAGATCTATAGCTGCAATGAAATCTCAATGAAAAACCCCAACAGCCTGCCTTACAGAAGTAGAAACCTATCCTCAACATAGAATGGTAACCAAACTCACAGCAGGGAGCCGATGCCCACTCAGAGCCACCCTTAGAGGACTGGGTAGAACTGGCCCTGTGGGTTTCCAAAAACCCATAACCCTTTAGGAGATGCTTAGGGTACAAGAGAGACTCCATCTGGAATATAATTTTAAAAGAACATTTATTAAGTCTTAAAAGCGACAAAGACAATACAAAGATACAACAGATACATTGTTTAGTAGCTAGAGGCAGAAACCAGGGGTGGTCCCTTTACATGCCAAGGCCTCCAGCCCACCCTCCACTGCCCCCACACACTCCCACCCCCACCCCACTGCCCCTTACAGGAAGTTGGAAGCCCATCAAGGCTGGACAAATGCACCAATTCAGG